TATGTTGAAACCTCAATTTGGGTGAATCTAAACGGGTAATATTAGGTTGTTTCAAAACGTAACACGAGTCAAATAATCTTTTTAACCAGTTCCCAACTGGCAAATGTTCTACTGGTGAGAAAGTTATCGACGTGAAAAGATGATAGTCGGTTGGCGAGAGGTCTGGAAAGTATGACGGTGAATTTTGAAACGTGCGGTTGACTAGTTTCGGCTGCTACTGACTCAATGTTTGGTACTTTCCGTCGATTTTTTCACAATAGGACTATGCTGTTGCTATGTTGTTGTTTAGCCTAGTTGCAGAAAGATATATAGACCGGGAGCCCGTGACAGAAATTTTGACACCATTTTTTATCGTTCGCCTTTTTCAGAGGAAATATTTACAGCCACAAGCAACAGTATTATGCGTTGAACGAATTTTTTTCACATGTTACACATGCTTAAACATTAACTCTAGTTTGCATAAAAAAATTTTCTTTAACCAACATTTTACCGTCTGCCATTCATGCGGCCGGAAGGCTAGGTTATGCAACCCACAAAAAATTATTTGCAGACGGTTACGTGGTGTTCTGGGTAAAGCATGCATTTTTCATTCAACCAAAAAAATGGTAAACTGAAATCAATTTTTCACCGTCTGCCAAGCACAGTGTATTCTAATAGTAGCATGAAATGAACGAATTTTCATAAGGCAGACGGTGAAAAAAAGCAAAATTATTTAAACGATACGTGAACATGTGCTACTTCATTTATTTAATTTCGATTGATTACATAAGGTAGTATTTTCGATATTTTCATGGTAGATTTTCATTTCATTGAGTTCTCATAATTTCTTATATACTGCAGATGTTAATATAATTTTCTTGAATGTTTTCAGGCGTATCAGGTCCTTCGAACTAGTTGAATGTATACTGTCCATCATCATTGTGACATCAGCCATAATTTAATGGGTCTAATTGAGATGCAATTTTCTCAGAAGAATTGGTCCACATGTTTGTATACGCTGTTCTTTTAATTTGTTGTTGTGAGTCTCTGGCACATGGTGTTAGATTGGATGCGTCAAACGATTTAACTTGTTTCTTGAAAGACTCTATGTCATCTATCACTCCGTAATGTCTTTCGAAATTCCGAACTCTCGCTTCATTCTTCAGACTTTGGATAACTTTTTTTGGTTGTTGCATACATACGGCACACATACCGAAACGACTGAAATTTTTATGAAATATTTTGTTTCTATTTGATGATTGAAGGAATAGATTGTGAGGTATATTCTGACAGATCCAGTGGTATGGACATTCTGCTCATTAGGAGATGCTCCACCCAGCATACGGAGTTTTTTAACAGGATCAAGAGTTTGAGAACTAGAAAACACTTGTTTCCTATTTGATGGTACATGGTGTTTATCTTGTTTCTATTTGATGAGTAAAACAATAGGTTGTCAGCTACATACGAGACCACTAGATCTGTCTGTTTCTGTATGAACACCCTGCTCATTAGGAGATGACGATTGTCCTTCTGGCTGCTCCTTCCAGCCTAGATTTTTTAACAGAATCAAGAGTTTGAGAACTCGAAAACACTTGCTTTCTAACTGATGTTACACGGTGTTTGTCGCACTTCTTCGAAACGGCTTGACTGATTTTTATGGAATTTCTTGTTTCTATTGGATGAGTAGAAGAATAGATCTGATAGATCTAGCGGTAAGGACATGGAAAACACTTGCTTTATATCTGATTGTACACGATGTTTGTGGTTGCACTTCTTCGAAAGGGCTCAACTGATTTTCATGAAATTTCTAGTTTTGTTTCGATGAGTGAAAGAATAGGTTGTGGAATATATTCCATACCCTGAGATAAATAAACAGTCCCTATCAGGAATTTTCGCGATTATTTTTGTATTCGTTCAATTTGGCATCAAATTCTATACAATAAATTGATACTGTGGGATATACTGTGACGTACTGGACGCATGAAGTAATAATTTTCAGGATAAATTGAAATCATTACTGATGGAGGTAGAGACTTGAGAGTTTTTCTTTGTGAATTTTCTTCCTTAACAGAGACTTCTCTTGGATAATTACTTGAGTAGTCTAGGAGGCACATGTTTTTTGACAAAACTTTTTATTCGGGAGTCTATGAATACATGAAAATGAAGATTTTAGATGAATAATTGAGTGATGTAACATTCTACACGTGAGTTTTGGCTCACCTTGATATCTTCTCCCGTTCAAAAATGAAGAGGGAGACGCATTATTTTGGTGAGCCCTGTATATGTCCAATCGAAGCGACAATGGGATAAAATGAAATGATACGGAAAAAAGTTGTATTTACACGAACTGACTGTCGATTTCAGTACAATGACGATATTATTAGTATTATTCCTTCAAGACTAGAATGGTTTAAATTACGTAATATAAGATTACTATCCAGCTCGAGCGATCAAGTAAGATCTTTCTAGAGGAAAAGTTTTCTCATCCATGCTCGTTATCTGAAGAACCCGTCTGTGTCCTCTTCTCTCACGAATGGCTGGATATGACAGAAAATATGGAACGCTATAATGAATAGCTTACGTTGGATTATAACAAACTTGAAATCATGTCGTCCCACGTGACATTGCACTATTTGTTAGAATTTCTTGAACTTCACACTAGCTGCAATCAGCCGGCTTTGTAGTCTGTCTGAACTAAGAAGGCAGCTGAAGCATGTTTTGTTTCTCTTACGCTCTAATTAAGTTACATGCTATCCTTAATTAGAAAGATCTTCAGACTCGGTAGTGTTGTGAAAACAAAAGGGACAGACGATGTATTATCGTTGAGTTCGCAACGCTCCTTTTATATGTAACAAGGCGATGGTGACTCATCTCCATATTTTACTGGATAATTACTTATTTACTTATCGTAAAAAGTAGGGTTAACGACCAGCTCTTTTCGTTTCAAGCTGTTGTTCAAGAATGACATGTGAGATTCAACTCTTATAAGGAGAGCAAATACAATACCCTCAGCAAGTAATTTCCAAACATTGAAAATGGTGATTAAATGAAAAAATCTGTTTCTTGAATATAGAATATATAATATAGAAACTTGAACATACATATCTGATGAAACCAAAAAAATTGTTTCGAGTTTATCAAAACGATAATCAGAAAAGGGATTTAGGACCACGGCAAATGAATTTGGAGATGGTATAAATGAAGAAATGATAAAAATATTAGAAGAAACAGTTAATGCCACAAATGAAATAAATTGTGAATTTGATAAGCAGTCAATAAAAAATACCATGAAACTAGATGGGCAGAATGAAAATGAGGAATTCCACGCTTTCGTCATTGCAAAACATTACAAGAGAATCATGACGAAAGAGGAATCACTCCACTGAATTCCAGTCTTCACGATCATGTGATATGGCCTGAAACCCTGGTAAGAAAGGGTAAAAAAAATAGTGAAAGATTACCATTTCTTCTAACGAGCACTCAAATTAGAGAAAAAGAAGGCAATCAAGAGGAAAAAATCAAATGAGCCAAATACAGCAAAAGGTTAACACGATGAGAAAAAGAAAATGAAAAGTGCAACTGACAGAAATCCAAACCAAAATTTGTTCAGATGATTCATTGGAGCAAGAAAGTGCTACTCTCCAACCTTCCTCAAGAAACAGCCGAGTGAATATTTTATCATGTGTCACAAATGCACGAGAAAAACACGTGAGGCAAGTATTCGGTGACGACGAGAGCAATAATTCTACTGAAAACAATAAGGAAAAATTACCTTTTCCCAATAATCAGATTGCTTTTGGCAAAATGTGCTTCATCTGTACGAACAAGATTAGCCTAATATCAAAAGGAATCAAATGCTATGGATGGGAAAAAACCTACCATAATAGGTGCATTATTAGACTGACACCATCAACTGATACATCCTGTTCATAAATTTATTATTGTAAAACCTGCTCAGCTAAACCGAATATTTCTTAAAATCATCATTATAATATATCAGTTAAATAAAGTGAAGTCCTGGTAGAATTTGAAAACCTGAAGTTTCATATCATTTGGGTATGCCAATCACTGTAAGTCTTATGGCCAATAACAGTAATGAAACGGCCAATGACTGTGGATTTTGCATTCTTGGAAAATTATATAAAATTCTGGGTTTAAATGAAAGTAGGTCACTATTTGGTTCACTCTTCTCCTTCAGAATGATTGTTTGACAACAGTATCCTTCATAATGTCCATATTTACTCGATTGAAATAGACAAACTACGAGACAGGCTTTAAGTAGCCAATAACTGTACGCTTGACCCTATGATTATATTAATATCTTCCAAAATTGTAAGAGTTTCTATCTAGTTAGTCAAATGTTGACATTTTTCAAGCAACAATCAACGATTTCAAGATTTTTATTAAATTGATGGATGTATCCGTTCATATGTGGTTGCAAATCGTAATGAAGAAAAGAGAATTGAAACTTTCTATGTTTTTTACCACTTTCATTAGTAACTTACGTTACACATTGAAAGTTTTCATGTTCTTCACCACTTTCATTTGTAACTAACGTTACTGCAGTTTAGTCCTATAAGGACATTTTCAAACTTATACATTAAGTTTAAGTCCAACTTATCCATTAAGTTTGATAATGTCCTTATATGACGAAACTTCAATAACGTTAGTTGCAAATAAAAGTGGTAAAAAACATAGAAAGTCTTTTCTTCTTTAAGATTTTTCTTGAAAACTGTCGGTATCAGTTGTTGAATATTTCGCGATGTTGCAATATGAAAGTGGGTCATTTTCAACTATTCCTCACCCTGATTTATCTACAGAAATTCATCTCTTCTGTTTCTCTGCATAGTTGCCTGCGTACCAGGAACAGAAATAAATTACGGCGTGTCTACAAAGCCCAGCGAAATGATTCAAAACCTTGCTCTGCAAACAATAACGCCCGAAACCCCAACCTAAGCTGTGCATTTCCGAAAGCGTTGGAACCGTTCCCATTTAATAAAGATTTCCTTCGTGCTTTTCAGGATTGGACGCTACAAATCAAGTTTGTGCAGCAGAGGGATGCCGGCTTGTACGAATGCCAAGTGTCCTCGCATCCGCCCACGAGCATCTTCATCCAGCTCAACGTAGTCGGTAAGTTCTGTTTTCTTCCAGTGGCAGTACATTTCATGGGGTTTTGAGAAATCCCAGTATGACAGAATACATGCAATGATTCGCATTGGTGCTTGTTCATTTACTATTCATATAATCAAAACTACTCACTACATCGAAAACTGAAGAAAATTTATTTTATTTAATGAGTAAAGTTTTACTGGAAAAAAAATGTTACGTTTTCACAGAAAGTGATTCAGTAGGTATGTATATGATGGAATTGGCCGATACTTGATGAAAACGTAAACAATTTTACAAAAACGCAACACGTGTTTTACCATACAATGGCTTCTTCGGGCGTGTCTTTACTAATTATATCCTACACATTCATTGCCTGATATACTTTATTTTACAATTTGAAGTTTGTAATGAATTGAATTACCTGAGCTTATGTCCCAGTTTCCACATTTAAAAAAATATTCAGTAACAGGGAGTTATTCAATCCTGATTGATCATTCAGTGAAATACCGAAATTCCTGAATCTATTGATTTCTAAACATTCTAGAAGATTAAGTTTCAAACTCTTCCCTTCTAAATGTAACACGTCGTATTCATGACTTTATTCAGGTCCTTCTGCCAAAATGTGGTTTGCAAATGTGGAGTTGGTCTTTATATTCTCAAAACTATTTCCATGCTCTCTAATTCTTTGAAAAAAATGTTCTTTCTGTTTGGCCAATATACAGTTTTGGGCAAGAGGCACAAGTCAGCTCATTACAAACTCAGGTAAACATCAGGTACTTGAAATGTAGGTACTTCAAATTGTAGAATAAGGTATAATAAGCATTGAATGTATAGGAAATAGTTAGGAAAGACACACCCAAAGAAGTCATTGTGTGGCGAAACACGTGTTGCATTTTTGTAAAATTGTTCATTAAAAATCTCCCGATAAAGTGTTTTTTGAATACATCAGTAGGTATTTGTCACAATGAATGAGTTTTTTCAATATATTGAAGAACTATTTTCGAAATGGGTACTAATTCGAACGGAGTAGTTTTTCCAGATGATTTCCTGGATATTGAGGGCACATCGAAATCAATAATCAAGGTGTTGGGGAAGAATCGAAGATAAGTGTTGGGAAATTGGTATTCAAGACTTTTATAGGATGGACAGTAGTACCATAAGTGGCAAAGAGCTGTCCTAATTTCGGCTTCTTGTGCCTACTGTAATGGGTTCTTTCAATGGATGAGTTAATGTTTCTTCCGGACTGAAGTGAATGTAAAGTACTAGGCTATGCAAACAAATCAGTAATTCCAGCTCATTTAAATACCTTTCAACAGAGAGTGCTAAGTTCATCATTGAATCAATGGAAATTCACTTGAGACTCGTTTCTCTATATCGCCTGTGACATGAATAGTGAATAGTGACATGAGTTTTCGTTTGGAATTTCACAAGAGAAAAAAATTAAAAAAAAAAAAGATTGGAAGTTTACAAAAAATGTTGAACATTTATCAGGAAACAAACAAAGCTGAAGCGAATTCAAATAATGCTGATAATGCTGAGGAATTATTTTGGAATTGAGTAAAAACAGACAATTATTTTTTTTTCTCTCGATGATTTATAATTTTTTTTGCATGCCTTCTCAAGTTTTCTCCAAAGGTCCATTTCTATTTTGCCTAAGTACAACCTCGTCAAAATTCTCTTCATTGTAATGATACTTGAATTTGAAAGTAAACATAGTTTGCTCTTCATATTTTATGATTTTCATTTCACCTATTTGTAGCATATTGCCATTTGTGTCCTTCTCAAATGTGCCAAGATGGTTGCCTAAGTACTACAAGTAGTAATAATTTTCATGAGATTATTATTCAGTCACATCAACTTCTTATGATGATGCGTGTTCTCCTCTCTTATCTTCAACGGGTGTTCCTATGATTTGCTTCTGCAACTCAGTAGGAATGGGTCTGTCATTTATTTTCATTTGTATTTTAAAATAACAGTTCGCAAACTCTTATTTTATTATCTCCGTTGCAAATGTTGAATGCGTGGTTACATTGACGTGGTTTGACTGGATTTCTGCAATGTCTATAGGTAAGAGTATTGAAATAGAACGAAAAATCCCTACAATACGGAAACAATGCACATGCTCATGGTTACAACTAGAAAAAAGGTCCAAAAACGAAAAAAAATACATCCATATCAAGCAAGAATGAAATCATAACTCTACTCATTTCAATGGAAAGAATTTGCATGTTGTAAGAATAATGAAAGAGCTTGAAATACAACGGAAAGCGGTAAACAAAACATTCTCTAACGAGCAAGAACAGTCACAATTCGAAATATTCCAACAGAATAAAATTAAATAAACCATGAATAGTGTCATAACTTGAAATATGCCCAAATTGTGAACGCTGAAATTCAAAATGATTACTTTCTTGATTCTGACATTAGGTCATAACTCAAAATCTGATTGTTTCCAAAAATGCTGATAAATTCAAATTGACTCACCTTAGACAAAAATACTGGTACAGTTGAAGATGTGACAGTCAAACTTAACAGAAAATATCAAGTCTATGGCATAACTCACCATGTGTCAGTGTTCTTCCATTTTCAGATACGGAAACCAGTAAACCTGTAGTGACACATGACTCTCTCTAGTAATCAGTATCACCAATACAATGGGGAATGTTCCTCAATTTGGGTTATTACAGCAAATGCAAGTTTGAATAAAATAAAGTTGAGTTTAATTCATGAGTTTTTGAAATTCACTTCGAAAAGTATTCAAATTGATGTTTTAAATGTTGGGTTTTGATTTTTAAAGGGATTTGTTTCTAATTCACATATTGGCAACAGCACCTATATCAAATTGGAATAATTTATACGTACCTAGATATTCTACTTTGAAAAAGGAAAATTATTTTTATAATTCAACAATTGAGGCAAAATATAAATTATAGTTCAATATCACCCCCACAAGCCCCATAAACAACAGTTGTTTTGTTATTTATTTATATAGAGGAAGATATGTTAGATGCACAAAATGTCATATGTCACAGAATGTCTCGGAACGTAAGTAAACAGAACAGCACGCCTCTGAAATATGTCATCTTTTTTGTCTCATACAGGTAACAGATTCATTGTCCTTCAGTAGCTATAACCGATGTTGCCAAATGGTGAAATAGAAACGAATCCCTTTGAATGTTGAATGCATTATTTCATTCTTCTTTTTTAAGTATTCAAATAATGTTTTAAGGAAAAAGGTTGAAATGATAAGTTCAAAATGCGTTGTTTCAGAGCTCTTTTATGAAAACTACTTGATTTTTGTCAGGAGGAACATTCCCCATCAGACATATAGTCAATAGGCATACTTGAAGGTTGGCTATATATAAAATTATCTGAAGGAACAGTTCGTTCAGGCTAGTCTGAACTCCCGACATTGTAGGATAATGGACTGACTCCCCTAACTGATGCCACGAAGGACCTTGGATTATATCCAACAGATGTCAGTGCAAAATTCTTATTGTGCGGTTTAACCAAGTTCGAGGAATGATACTATGAAGGAATTCGATTTTCAATTATCGAAAATCATCGAATTCATGTTGATGATAGAAACTACCTCACACTGAGGAGTGGTCAAACAGCCCGAAACAAGTCTGCAAGTGTGTTTCAATAATTGAAAATATATTGCGGCAGTTCTATCACCAACAGCATATGCATGAATAACTTCACTAAAGAATCCTGCAGTGACATCTGTCGGATATAATCCAACTCCCTTTGTGGTATTAGCCAGGGGAGTACTTGTTTTCTGATGGGTATCAGTCTATCAACCTACAGCGAAGGGAGTTGAGACTGGCGTCAAGGAATTATTCCTTTAGATGATTTAATATAATTATGACACTTCTCTTGAATAAAATAATATACTAGATTTCATTTATGTTAGCGCATAAATGAAAAAAATGGAAATTTTGACTTGCGATACATCAAGAAATATGAAAATTGGAAGAAATTCGAAATAATCGCACAAAAAATGGAAGCAAAGAATTAAATAAGAATATCACCACATGGAAATATTACTTACCATATCCAATGCATCTGCTACTTTGAAATTCACAATAATTCACAGCTCCGAGTCTTTTTCATTCTATAGAGTTCTGTAAGTGCTATTCTATGAACATATTGGAGAAAAGCTACACTACAGGCATCACGTAATTTTGCAATTCAACTCACATTATAAATTTCATGCAGTCGCCTCATATGACTTCGCAAGCATCATTTTCAAAGACTCGCCCAGCACCTAACGATTAAAGTTTGGAGGTGCTTTAGCCCGGTAATCCATTAAAACGAAGTTAACCTAATTCACCAAACGCAGCATGGCTTGACATTTGCCTAAGGAATAATTTTCGTACCTAGATGTTCGTGCAAGTTTAGCAGAAGAGGGTGGAAAATCTTAAGCTCTTGTGTATTCTGTATTCAGGAAATGATCGAAATAAATTCTATGGAATCTCACTTTTGAGAAAACAGAAAGGAAAGAACTTCTTTGCACGTATAGGATCTTTCATTAGACGCTTCCTATCCTTATATTTAGATGGAACAAAGTGATATCATCAATTTTTTTATCCATTTGAAAGACCTACGTGTGGAATATAACGTTAAAATATCCGTCACGGCTTCGCTGGGTGGAGCGCATATTATTGTGGTGCTATGATGTGCTGTCAAATAGCCATGGATGGATATATCATTCAACAACAGGTGCAGAAGTGTTGGGAGTGAGCAGAAAAATCCAAGGCTGTCAATTTCGCGTCGCTCACAAAAACTCAACCTTTCGCAGACTGCACTTGGCGAATTTTGGGTCGAGACTTGGGCCTGAACCCGTGAAAAGTTCTACTGACCCAGGAACTTGAAGTAAACGACTATTGATAAGACGTATGTTCGCTGAATGAGTTCTGAAGCAGTTGGCAACTGAACCTGATTTTTATAGAAAAATCATCTTCAGCGATGAGGCCCATTCTGGATCGTCCCAAATTGTCAAAATGTTGAAGATAGGA